GGCGCCGCGGGTAAGGGGGGCCGCCGAGAGGCCGGGTCCCTGCAGTCCTCGCGCGCTCGCCGCGCGGCGGGCTGACCACAGGGAGGCGGGGGGCGCGCGGGGGTTCAGGTTCGAGTCCCGCCGGGGCAGCTGAGCGACCCTGGCTCAGAGACGTGCAGACACTGGGGCTGCATTTCGGCGACTGAAGAAAAGTGCGTGGGTGAACACGAGATGGTATTTTAAAAGGAGCGCAAAATGTGACAGGAGTTTAGTGGGGCGCACTGGAAAGGTCGGTGCTTAGCCCCCCAGCGCCTCGCTCTGCTTGTCCTGTAGGAACCCTGGTACTTGGTGCTGCTCTGCTCTTCTCTCTCCGATCTGTGCGCTCAGTGATGCTTCGAGCCGGAGGGCAGCAAGTGACCCTCACCACCCACGCCCCCTTTGGCCTGGGGGCTCCTTTCACTGTTCCCTTGAGCCAGGTGTCTTGTATGGCCCACCGAGGAGAAGTCCCTGCCATGCTGCCTCTGAAGGTCAAAGGTCGGCGCTTCTACTTCCTCTTGGACAAAGCTGGACACTTCCCGAATGCTCAGCTCTTTGACAGCACTGTGGGTGCCTACCGGAGCTTGTGAAAAAACGGGACAGACGAAAACTGTCAGGGGTCCAGTGTTTAACAGTAAATAAAGGAGTCAAAGGGCAGCTGCCTGGTCCGTGCCTGTTTAGCCCTCACTACTTTCTTGCGTCTACTTTGATGGCACTCGCCTGTCATCCCAGCACTTGGGAGGCTGAGGCAAGAGGATCTTTGTGAGTTCGAGACCAGCCTAAACTGCATAGTGAGACCCAGTCTCAAAAAACACAATACCAAGATGAAGAAAGTAATATATTTTGGTACAAAAAACCACAACAGGATGAAAGGTAGATCAGGGTAGCAAGCATCGTATTTCCCTCCTTGAGGGAACAGTGGAGCTTCCAGCTATGTGGGGTAAAGGATTGCAGACACTTGGAAAGGAGTCTCTGCCGAAAGCACTGGGGTTGCTCTTCAGAAATGTGACACGTGTGGCCCCACAAGAGCGTCTGTCTCAGAGGTGCCCCTCTCCAGAGGCTGTGGTGGGTTGGCTTCAGACTTCCACTGCACAACCTGGAGCACCAAGACCAAACACCACAATACCAGATTCACCCAGGAAGAGTTCTGTGGGAGACAGAACAGTAATATGAGGAATGGGGCCGTCTCAGACGCAGTCCTTCCGCACCAATCTGTCACACAAGCCCCTCCACTCTTGCACCTGTCCCTGGTGGGCCAAGCCACTAGTACACTGGTGAGTGCCCTTACAGCTACAGACACTGATTGGATTTTAACTCCTGGGTCTCACTTCAGCATCGTGTAGGCTGGAATAAAACTGCAGAGTGGTTCCAGGGGTTGTCCATGAAATTTTCTGGGCTTCAAGGCAGCTGTGAGGTCAAAGAGACAGTTGTGAGAAAGGAGGAGTGGTAGAAATACATCAGGTACGTCTATGTCCAGGTGCTCTATGAGACAAGGACAACAGGCGGGGATACAGTGCAAGGTTCTCTTTGCAAAGGGAAGGTAGCTCTAGTCAGTGTCCCTCCCTCTCCCATTACCTAGTGGTTCTATTCAAGGAGATGATGGAGTTGCAGAGAGAACTGGTGCCAAACCGAAGGATACAGGCAGACAGTAAGACAAAGAAGATGGCTATAGCTGAGATAGCCAATGCAATCCGGAGCCCTACAGGACCTCTGAGAGAGGAAAAACAAACCTGTGGTTGAGGTGGTCCCCATTTCAACTCAACCCCTGGTCCTCAGGGTAGGGCAGTCACCTGTGGGAATCTTCGATGCAGCTGCTGTAGACCCAGAAGAGCAGGAGGAGGAGGCAGTAGAGGGCCAGAAAGCCTGATATCCCAATCACAAAGTGGCAGAGTGATGGGGCTGAGGGTCGGGCTAAGGCCAGGAAAGAGCCATTCAGGGTGGCCACACCATACAAGGGACAGCTGCCCCTGAAGGAGCCCTGCGGGAGAGAAGCCGCTGAGTCTTCAGTTTCAGGTTACTGCCTAGGGATGCGGGTTCCTGGCAAGTGTTAGGCGGTCATCTAAGCCAGATCCATACTCAGCTAAGGCAGTGCACTTTTAGTTCCTGGTTCTGAGGCTGCAAGGCTGAGGAAAGGGCATTCTGGGGACGTCAAACCTGCAGTGGCCAGATCAGGAAATGGGTAGTGGTTACAGAACACGGGGCGGACCTTTGGGGAAGCCCGACAAGTTACGTTCTCAGCCCAGAGAAATCCAGGGTGCACACAGTCGTCGAGTAACCGTAAATACCTCCAATGTCTTCGGATCTGTAAATCAGACGTACTAATGCCCACTTTACGATAATACACCCATCTTTATTTTTCTGTTTCTTTTTAAAGACAGGGTCCCGCTCTCCACCCCTCTTTACTGGCAAAACCGCCTGGCAGGAGAGAGCACTCAGTTTGCCCGACAATCTTCTGCACCAGGGTTGTCACTAAACACAACTGCAGGCAGGCGGCGTGGCTCGATCTTCTCCACTGCGCTGCGCTTTGTATCTCTGCAAAGCCCACGGGGGCCTCGACTGCAGGCTCCACCGAGCGTGCTCCCGCGTCTCCAACACGGCAGGGAAGAGCCTACCCACCCCACCCTCGTGTCCCCCTCCCCACAGCCGCACCTGGGTCCAGGTGAGCGCCGCCGCCGCCACGGCCCCGCACAGAAAGGCCGCAGCTAGTAGCAGGAGCTCTACACGTTGCAAACACCGCAGCGCCATGGCGCCCAAGCACCAGAAACCAGCGCCGGGGAGAACGCTCGCACTTCCGGCGCGGCCTGGCGTCACTTCCGGAGCGCAGCGGGCACGGCACGTCCCTTCCGGCCGCGGAGACGGCCCCGCCTCAGAGCGGCAGGTACAGCGAGTAGTCCGAGAGGGCCCAGCGGCGCGCGGGGCGGCTGGTGCGGCCGATCATGGGCAGCTTCTGCACGTAGCGCGACGCAGGGCTGGGCCCGCGCGGCGCGGGGAAGGCGGTCTGGAAGAGGCG